GGTTTGGAGGTTTACACTACTCGGAGTGATGGAGTGGAGGAGTGCGAGGGTTTGGATTGCTGATTTCCAGCTAGATTATTATATACCATTAGCACAAGTTTGTATAGCTATATATAGTGTGAGAAGGGGGGATGCGAACTTACATCAACTTTCGGTCAGAAGCACTAACATCCGGAATTGCATAATTCTCAAAAATACGCCCTTTTACAAATTCCATAATCTGTCGATTACCGTATGGCCTGTTAGCGGAATATCCCCATGCTATCTGGGTGAAGGGTATAAGAAGGGCGTACGTAGAATGGAGTTCCAATGACCGACGAATCTTCGCAGAGGACATGTACCCTCGGCGTCGGTACCGGTGTGTCCTGTAGAGAATGAAGAACTCTATATTCCCTCTCCACTGCATGAGCCGTCTTCGACAAAAGCGATCCTGGTGGTTTTTTTCGCATAACATATTTTCGGCCGTCGCCATTGAGGACGAGGTACGTTGGATTGGACTGGCCATAGCCGAACTATTATTACCACGAAAGAAAAAAGAGAAAGGGTATCAGTTAGCTCTATTTTAGGGATTCGGTCTTCATTGCATACAAATTCAGAGATTTCCCGGTATTGGAAGTGAGGAAAGAAGGAAATACCTGTTTAAGCGTTATCGGTGCCCGAAAACATCGTGGAACGTGGGATATTAAGTATTTCTCCAACGACGCAACATCGATCGCCTGGCGGACAGGGCCGACAGCTGACATTTTTAGTTTATTCGAGAAGTTTGAGCTCGTCCGTACATTCAATTACTTGGTTCTATTATCGATTAATATGCATAAGCAGTGTATTAATTGCATGCATGGGGCGAATATCTAGCAAGAAAAAGAGAAAGGAAGGAGGAACCGTGTCGGCGGTTGGTCATCAGTACCTTTTTATTACAGCTAATTGGCCTTAAGCTTCTAAGATTTCCTCCCGAGTCCCGAGCCTTTCAACTCGTGAAGTCTGAACCGGAACTAAGCCAGTATAACTTTCGGCGACGCCGTTCGGAGGATGCTGGTGGTGTTAAGTACGTACGTAGTAAGCCTGTATTAACTATCAGGAACTGCAATGCAACGGGTCCGGGGTAAGCTAAGATTATTCCAGGCCCCGTCCAAACTGTCATAACCATAAAGAAGAGCAAAGCGATTTCGATTTGAGCCGAGGCAAGTTTTTCTCCCTTGCGGCAAAACGAACGCGAACGCTTTTGATGGAGTTTGGGCAGGTTGCACACGACCGGACTGGGAAATAGAGGCAACCGATTGGCTGGGATTTGGGGAATTTAACGTTTGCCGATGGTTAACCACGGTATGGCATGTGCATTTGAAAGCGTATGCATACCCGGGCGGTCCTTTCTATGAAATTGGCCGGGAGGATCTAGGAAATCTGATACCTATCATCATCTGGAATAAGATCTTATAAGATGGAGATTACTCCATATAGGTACATATGCGTGGTCTCGAGGCCGGCTTAGTTTCAGAATGCGTTGAATCTGATCGAATGTGTTGAACCAGATCTGCATCGAACTGTCTGATTCCGGAAGTCGTATCGAGAATAGATATGATCGTCGTCACGATCTCCATTCTCGGTCATCACGTGATGTTTAAACCTCAATCCCAACACATCAACACATCAACACATGAAACCAGCACCGCCACATGCTGCAACAGTATGGGCTGGTGGCTGAACCCCGCTATTATCGCCTCGCTAACCAGGCCCGAACGCTCCAGACAGCTCTCAAAATCCTATGAATCTTTCGCTTTCTCCATGGCATATTCCTCCAAATCCCACGAAAAACCCACCAACTGCCTCGACGGCCAACAGCACTCCCGGGATTCGACTGCCATAACATGACACTGGAGAGCCATCAGTACCATGTCATCCAACTTATCCCCATCAAGCAATGAAATCCACCTAGTTCAACGCCAAGCGCAGCCTTCCAACCATGCTGGGGAGCCTCATACACCCACAAGCGAGAATTCCCTAGCAGGTGCTACGGCCTCGCATGAGCGCGCAGAACATCCCCTGAAAGCACCCTCAACATCAGCCGGTTCCTCACTAAAGCTCGAGACTTCGGTCAGATTTAGTAGTAGGGCTGGTGGCGATGGTAATGGAGGAGGAGGAGGAGGATTGGGAGGAGAGCGAGAAAACGAGGATTTGGGCGCTAAATTGTCTTATTGGCAATCACGGCAGGAACATGTTGATGCGATTGACTTTTACAAGTTTGCTCAAAATGGAGGGACTACTGCTGGTAGTGGGATTAGTGGCATGGAAAGTACGGCAGTTGGTGGTAATGGTGGTGCTGGTGGTGCTATAGTAGATAGCACTATGGAAAGTGCTGTTAAAGATTCTGCCAAATATGCTGCTGCAGAAAATATAACACCCGCTACATCCATAATGCTTCCCGGTTCTCTCGCTGCTGCTGCACAGTCTCCTGTATCAGAGAAGATGGTTACCATAGTAGGGAAGAGAATACTACCATCACTTCCTCCTCCATCAGCAAGGACCCACGGCTATACACCTAACACGGGAGGTCCCAGTGCACCGGCACTACCACCGAAGATACCTGTTCACAAAACCTGGTTTAATGTAGACGACGTTCCGAGGGTTCCGCTCAAGATTCCGGCATCGATAAGCACTAGCCAAGATCTAGATAGTTCTTTCTACGGCAGTGAAAATTCGAATTATACAACTAGAACTAAACCTACACCTACAACTGCTCCTGCTCCTTGGACTTATAGAACACCTCCACCTCCACCACCTCCACGGCTCTCTTCCCAATCAACAAGTATAAACAAACCTCAATCCCCCTCGCCTGGTGAACAAAGTTCTCCCTTTTCATACCGTCAAGAAGCCGACAATATCATATCCAAATACACAAAATCACTCAGCCACACTTCACCATCAGACAGCGACACAGAAGCCTTAATAGCCGACATAAACAGACAAATCGACCAAGAATTCAAAAACTCAAGCCTAACAGAAGGACAGAAGATCAATGCAATCGCAAAATATGTTCACGAGCGTGAAAAACTTCGGGCTTCACCGCCTATCGTGGAACCGAAGACAAGGTCGTCTAGTAAGCTTTGATAATAAGTAACCTTCAGAGTCTACCACAAGTATCCTAACCTTCAACAGAAGAACCTAAATCCCGCCTCCTACTCCCATCACAACCATCACACGAACGCCTTAACCTTCGTAGCATCATGACATCCATGCAAAAATCCACAATAGGTTCCCGTACGTCTCTAAAACTCGGCGTCGACCTGGTAATGCGTTACTACACATCCTCCACAAACCTAACACCAACGCACCTTACTTCCACCATCTCCAACCTATCCAAACCTAATGGTCTCGGTCTCGCAGAAGTTTCAATGGGATTTAGTTTTATTCACATGTGCATCCGTCTCAACAAACTTGAGTTAGTCAAAGAACTCGTCGAAGTCGGCGGCGCAAATCTCAAGGATTGCGATGATAAAACTCAAACGCTGATTAGGAATGCCATATGGTACGCCGATGCGGATATGGTCGAATATCTAATTTCCAAGGGAGAAGATATAAATGCCCGTTCTCATCACGATAGTATATCGCCGCTCCACCATGCAGTAGCAGCCCATAACCTCGGCGCCCTAGGAGTATTAATAAGATCTGGCGCAGATGTTAACGCCACAATCAGAAAAAACAGAAAGGATATCGCATTAATATGCCGGAAGAAAAACACCGATCCGGATACAATGGTCGAAATATTACAAACACTTCTCGCAAACGGTGGGAGAGTTGCAAAATCTGCGGATGGGGGGATAACGCCTGCGTTATTAACCGGTGCGACGGGCAATGAGCGAGTATTGGAGATATTAGGGACTGTAGGGGTGGATCAGGAAGATATCAACAAACTCCGCGAATTCGCATTGTCTGCTGCAATTCTATATAACGACGTTCCGAAAGTCCAACAGCTTATCGAAGAAGGGTATGACTTAAACAGACGCGACATTTTTCGGTGGAGACCTTTGGATTCTGCGGTTAGTTATAAAAGAGGGAAAATTGAAGCGATTTTGGCTGATGCTGGAGCATTACCAGCTAGTAAGAGGAAGGATATGGAAAGGAGGAAGAAGCAGGGTAGTGGTGCGGAGGATGGGGGTGAAGAGGAAAGGGGTAGTTCGGATTGGAGTGCTGCTGCTTTGGGGGACAGAAGCGATCCAGAGCAGTGGGAGAGTGGGAAAGATTTCAGAGTAAAGGGAAAAGGCTTTTTCACGAGGAGTGTTTGAAAAATCAATGGAAATGAGGGTGTTATTTGACTTTGGGTTTAAGGCGGTTCTCATGATACCTGGTTTTACGATTTCAGCGTGGTTTTAATGAGGATTAATTTATGCATAACGTTATGGATCAAGTTAGCGATTCTTGTTGACTTTTTGTGTATTATAATTATATTAAACAGCAGTTATATAGACTTCATATTATTGGACTTTGCCTGAAGTCGTGGCTATTCCATTTGTATCCCGCTTTCCCACTTGCACGGATAGCGGCTTGTTTAGTACTTCACGTACCAGGTGTTCGAAAATACTTGTGAGTTGATACCTGTCAGGTTTTTGATTCGATGAATTCATGAATTCATGAAAGGATTGGATCATTAAGATAACTCGTCAACCATGCATTCATGAAGAATATTTTGATATCCACTCCTAATGTCCCCCGGAAAACATGATGAAAAGTCATGACCATTTTGTTGGATCTTCGACCCTGGGGGAAATCAGCATCGAGTCTCGAGTTAATATAACATACAAATCTGTAGCCCACAAATAACCCAGCAAAAACCATAAAGCAAAACTGTTCACAATACACGCCTAGCTCGATTGGTAAACTTCAAACCGATGAACCAACTGGCCCCCATCTGCGCCTGGTCTCAATCGAGGCTACCCAATTGGGTTGTTCAAAAAATAACACACTCTTAGTGCAATTGCACAAAACGGAATTGAACGATCACGATTTGCCGGCACTCAGAATCGAACTGAGGCTGTATCGGGAGTGTAATAACCTTGAGGTCTCCACAACGATACGTACTAACCACTATACTATGCCGGCTTCGTTGAAGGTCGAATCGCGTCCCCGGTTGACAATACCCAGCGCGGTGACAAGGTGAAAAACATATCAACACTCAAAAATGTTGCAAATGGTGTTACTACTATACATCCCCACTTCTGTAAAGGAAGCTTCAACTTGAGTTTATTACGCTGCTTAGTATCGATTTCATCGTATGATCAAAAGAAATTATTTTGATATGTTTAGTATCTAGGATCTCAGCCCTTGAAGAAAACGTGCTTGATCAACTATATCTAACTAGTTAATAGGTTTTAAGGTTCTATGGAATCTACCGATCTAAAAAAATATTTGATTTTAATTATCAATAATACGCACGGGCTTGAGCGTACGTAATACCTGATATAATTAAGACTATCCTTAAAATGAGGCATATAAATCAGACCAGGCATATCAATATCGACAAGTACTTGCTCTTCCTGCCACCCACAATTAATTGGCATCCGCAAAATTTAGATTATATCTAAGATACCCACCAATCTAGAGAACTGAATCCATTTTTCTGTATGGCTAGTTTAACCGCTTATTTATCTCTCGGAAAAAAAAGATCTATGACAAAGATGTTCGATGAAGCAGCTACCGGCGCAAGGCTTATGAGCTCGCTACAAATCGGCCCCGCACCTCGAAACCACAAACGATACTCATCTGACTTATAGACCGCGGAGACAACTATAGCAGGTAGCTGGATATTTGAGTGCTTATTCCAAGCAAGGTGCCATACCTTAGCGTCCTGTAGTTAGCCATAACTACATTCTACACGGTCAAACTTTTGGGATCAAACTGCGTGCTTTCGTATTTCTTATATATCTCGTATCCCCCATTCCTAGCCCTGCGTATGCCCCACAGGTCCCTCCCTGTTGAGCTTACTCACTCACTATCAGAAAAAAAGAAAGAAAGAAAGAACTAAAGAAAGGAAGAACCACATGATCCCATCCGAACGCCAAATTCCCGCAAGCTTAAGCTTAAACCCACTCTTCGTAGTTTTAACCAGTTCCATGTCATGAGCTTAACTTAACGCTACGCTTTATCCAAAGCTAGATTTTACCAAAGCTAGATTTTAAACCCAGTAAAATGCCCCCCCGCATTTTCCGAAAATCCTGCTATTGTAATTGTATCTAGGTGACGATCATGCGGCAAGAATGCTTCACGTGCAGGTTCGCATGCCCCCCCTGTTGCATTTTTTCATACCATTTCATGCAGGATGTACGCCCATTCTGCGGGGTATAAGACCCAGAGGACCCTTTCATTTTGAGAATATCATTCCCCAATAATTGCTAAGTGTCATTCCTCACTACGGATTAAATAGTAGTACGATGAATAACCTAATGATCACGAATTGAAGAAAACATCAAGTTGGGGTAGCTATAACGTTAGCTGGCCGAGTAGCCTCACGATTGAGCGCCTTGTGTTGACTACGCATATAATCAATATCATGCATTGTGGCATCAAATCGACACTAGATCTATAGAGCGCTGGGAAGCTTAAGAGGGCCGAACACTACGTTGAGGTTTTACTACCCCATAGCAAAGTAGAAATTGTGAATGATAAAATTATGAATTATGTATCCGCTATCCCAAGAATCACTATATAAAACCCCGGCTATCGTCACGGGCACAGAAACCTTCACACATGCCATGGTGATATAATGCCATATCGTAGCTAAAAATTTGAGAAATCAAAAACTCATCAAAGGTCTCACCTACTCAGAGAGACCGAGTAGGGTAGTATATGTCCCTCAAAACCAAATCCTATAGATACCTTGTACCCTCATTACAAATGTAGAGGAAAATCCAAACGAAAACAAAAAAAAAACACCGAAGAACAAACACCCGATAGCTTCGTCTCTATTTGAAGAGAGTTCAAAGATTTTCCTGGGCGGCTAACAAAGCAGCATTAACATCAACATGGAACAGTGGTCTCGCAATGGAGTGTACCAAAACCCTCCTCTTCGAGATCTGAATAGTGTGGCTGGGGGCTGCTTCAAGATCTGTCTTCTTAATACTGCTACCGCTAGCACCGTCGTCGCTAGTACCATCAATACCGGCAACTCTGGCGCTAACCTCGGCAACAGAGTATAGTGGTTTCCAGGGTCCCTTTCCAGACTCAGAGTTGGATTCAACCTCTTCAGATCGGTAACCAAAACCAGCAGATGTCAAAGCACGTTTCGTCCATCGATTGTTGATAGCTGCGAAGTGCCAGTCGACGTGGTTGGGTGCGGCGTACCTGTCGAGAGTGTTGCGGGTATCGATGAGAGTCTGAACGGCGGTGATATCAACGTTATTGACGGCGGAGAAGTCGAGGATGATGGCTTTGAGAGTTGGGCGGTTATCGTCCTCGAGAGTCAAGTGCCTTGGGCCACGGTCATTCCATGGGCGGTCACCAAGACGGGCAAAAGTATCAATAGAAGTGCGGCGGCATTTAAGTTGGATATAGTCAAGGAGTTGATCGCTATAGTGGGCGGCATTGGGGTAGATCAAACCCTCAGAGAAACGGAAAACGAAAACACCTGGGAATGGTGAATCAATGTTAATGGCGGGATTGGAGCCATCCTTATGGTCGATTGGGAGGAAGACGTCATGATGGTGAGCCTCAGGAAGTTCGTTGGTGACCTCGCCACCTTTAACACCCTTGATTTCTGGATCGGTCTTAGATTTTCCAGTAGCACCGTAGCCACCACCGAGCCCAACAGTCTCAGTTGAGATGTTCTCTGGTGGGACGATTTGGACACGAACACGACCGAGGAAGTGGCCTCTAGCCTTGGCGAGACGGAAGAGGAGAAGGGCGGCGGAAGCAGCGATGGTTGTGTAGATACCGTTTTCAATAGAGCTGAAGACAGCGACGAAGACACCAGCAAAGAAGATAACGACCTCAATGGGAGATACGCGCCAGAACCGGTAGACAACATTAGGAGGAGTGATAAGATCACCTACGGCGTGAATGATAACACCGGCAAGAGAGGCGTTTGGGATGTAGTAGAAGACGGCGGTGAGGAGATAGATGGCGAGGAGAACGATGATACCAGTGATAACACCAGCAATCGGAGTTCTAACACCGGCCTTGGCCTTGATAGCCGTTCTGGAGAAGGATCCAGTGGCTGGATAGGCGCCGAAGAATGGTCCAAAGATGTTGGTGATGCCGATGGCGATCAATTCTTGGGATGGGTTGATCTGATAACCATTCACGCGACCAAAAGACTTGGAAATAGCCTATTTACACGGTATTAGTTGGCGTTCATATATATTTTGCCAATTAGGTTAGAACTTACAATATGTTCAATGAGCAGAACGATAACGGCTGCTGGAAGCTCTCCAACGAAGGAGCTGATGATACCGCCGTTGATGACTGGAACACCCATATGCTGGAAACCCTTGGGGACTTTTTGTAAGATTCTGAAGGCTGGCTTTGTGCGTCTGTGTCGGTTAACGAGCCATGAGATCATAGTATAGAGAAGAATAACGAAGGCAGTTCTCAACGTCGAGATGAAGAACCAAGTTCGCTTGTAATTCGGGAATCTCTTAGCCATGCGGTTTGCGACGATACGGATGATATAGAGCATGGCAAGAGCGCTAAGGCCCATGGCAGCATCGAGCTTCGCAGCACCGATATGCTTCCAGAAGTTGATGAACACTTTGTAAGTCTCGGCACGATTGTTGACAATACTACTTGGAATACCGAAGAGGCCAGGGACCTGGCCCATAGCGATATTGAGAGCAGAACCTGTCATGAAAGCGGCAATGGCGGGAAGTGGGATGTAGTCGACGACGAATCCCAACCTCAAAACGCCAATAGCGAATACAATACTACCACAGATAAGAGCCAAAGCGCTCGCAACCTGCGGTCTAGTGAATTCTGGGTGGGTTTCCTCGGCTTTAAGAACGATATTACCGACTAAAGTAGACATGACAGCGACGGGTCCGATAGTGATATCCTTGGAAGTGGCGAAGAACCAGTAGAGCATGACACCCACGAAAGACGAGTAAAGACCATATTCGGCAGGAAGCTGAGCAAGGATAGCATATGCCACTATAGTAAACGTCATACTAGTTAATATGGAATACGATATGCAGGGTTCTGTGTAACCACCCCAGTAAAAAAAAGCGAGAGAGAAACCAAGAAGGTTGGCAAATGCTTACTTCCTTGTGGAACGACGACGAAACCAACAGTGATACCGGCAATAAGATCACCAGTGAGCCAGAGAAGATTGTAATTTCCAATCCATTGAAGGAATGGGAAAAGAGAAGTCACAAACTCGACTACCTCGGTCTTGTGTGGAATGTGGTCTGAGACCCACTCCCTGATGGTTGGCTCTTCCTCGACATAGGTGTCGGTCGACTGGATAGACTCTCCTCGGGTGACGACACCCTCATTGATGTCGGAATCGAGCTTGATACCAAGCGCTTTGGCAGCACCCCTCTTCCAGGAAGCCATGATGACGATGGCTGTATTGGTTATGAAAAAGACAATACCGATCCTCGTCGTCTACTATGTGGATGCAGAGTCGCGTGCAAAAGAGATACTAGAATGTTGGACAGCTGCGCACGACATATCTCAGGATGAATGAGAAGGAGGTGCCTTCTTTTATATGTATCCCGACCTCCTTCTCCATCTGGCTGCATGGGTGTGGTACATATGTGCATTTCTAGGGAATACATGTTCTGCTTGATAATACGGTCAGCAAATTTGGCCCCGAGGAGAAAAAAAAAAAAAAAAAAAAAAAAAAAAGCCTATAACTTAGATCCACTAACCGGAGCTTACTAGTTTAGCACGACAAGGATGTTTAGGTTATCTCCATCGTATGTACTGGCCATGGCCATGGAGGTCGTTGAAGCAGCCATGGATTGTATAGTAGGACCCGTTACTTTGGGGCGGCTGATGCAGGTTGCAGGATGGTGGTTTAGGTTGGCTCACATGCTGCGCAGGCGAAAGAATGAAGGCTAACCGTCCGAGATGCTCGTTTGTCCTGGGGACATTACCCATTACCCACT